CGACCACCAATCTGACCCACCCCGGTCTTGTTACTCAGCACAGTCATGTAGATATATCCAAGTATGTTCAACTAATCAAGATTAATCAAGGGTCTATATAAATATAAACAAGCTTTTACATGTTTTAAAAATATTGGGCGAAATTTTATCAATAGCTAACTGAAATTTTTTATTTTAATTCTACAAATATGTGTAGAATTAAAATAAAAAAGAGATTTTATCAAATTTGGTCAAGTAGTTGTCGAGAAAACTCTGCTTAAAGTTTTTAAAAATTCAGAAGAAAATGATTTACTGATAGATAGAACAGATTCTTTTTAAACTTTAAGCGAAGTTTTCTCGATAACTACCTGATCAAATTCGATAAAAAAATTTTTTTCTAATTCTACACATTTGTAGAATTAAAATAAAAAAAATTGGTGGTCAAATAGATATCACTTCGCCCAAAGTTCAAAAAAAATATAAATTGTTTACTTGTATACTGGCCTGTGATTAATATTGATTGGCCAAACTTATAGTAGATCATCAATAAACATTATGACATCAATGAACATTACGTAAGCTATTGATATACTCACAGTCATATAAAAAGATAGTAACACAAAAAAACTACATTTTAAATAAAAAGTCACATAGTAATATGGATTAACAGGGGATCTTCTTAAAAAATATGCTTGGTAATAGAATAAAGTCTTCATCAAAATATGTTAAAAAAAATTAAAGTAAATTAAAAAAAAGATAATATTCATCATTTGTCATATATTTATCAATCCATTAAACTGAAATTGCTTTATAAAAGATTGTGTCATTTGTCAATAACAACTGATTAATCATTCGTTAGGCATCATTAATTTAGTTTATATACTTGACAAAAACTCCAACAGGCATTTTTTTTTTGTATATCAAAATTGTGTACATCAATTTTTTTTTAGCCAATAAAATTATGGTATTTGTTTTGTACATCAGTTTGTATAACCTTACATACATCATTTTAATTTTTTAAAAATTAAAATTTTTAAAAACTTTGAGCGAAAATACTTTTTTGTTTTAATTCTAGAATTTCTAGTATTAAAAAAAAAAAAAGTTCATCGAATTTGCTTAGGTAGTTGCCGAGATATATTCGCTTAAAGTTAGTAGAAACTCAAAATGTCTATAATAAAAAGCAGTAAAATTTTTTAAAAAAAAAAACTTTGAGCAAAGATATCTCAACAACTACTTAAGCAAATTCAATAAACATTTTTTGTTTTAATTCTAGAGATTTCTTGAATTAAAAAAAAAAAAAAGATAATCGAATTTGCTTAGGTAGCTGTCGAGATATCTTTGCTCAAAGTTTTTTTTTTTAAAAAAAATTTTACTGCTTTATTATAGACATTTTGAGTTTCTACTAACTTTGAGCGAATATATCTCGGCAACTACCTAAGCAAATTCAATGAACTTTTTTTTTTTTTAATTCTAGAAATCTCTAGAATTAAAACAAAAAAAAGTTTATCAAATTTTCTTAAGTAGTTGTCGAGATATCTTTGCTCAAATTTTTTTTTTAAAAAAAATTTTATCGCTTCTTTATTATAGACGTTTTGAGTTTCTACTAACTTTGAGCGAAGATATCTCGGCAACTACCTTAGTAAATTTATCTCGGCAACTACCTTAGTAAATTTGATGCCCTTTTTTTTCTTTTAATACTAGAAATTTCTAAAATTAAAACAAAAAAAAGTTCATCAAAGTTACTTAAGTAGTTGTCGAGATATCTTTGCTCAAAGTTTTGAAAAAATTTAATTTTTAAAAACAAAACAAATGCCGTAATTTTATTGGCTAAAAAAAATTTATGTACACAATTTTGATGTACAAAAAAAAATATCAAAACTCCAATGCATACTGTTACTATTGTTTTGGGAGAGCTTTTAAAACTATCGGTACAATTTAACTCCAATAGTTAACTTATATGTTCTTTGTATAAAACTCAGAGTAATATAATAACAAATAAAGTCGGTTATAGTAATAACTTAAGTACATGAGATTATGTAATTGATCCAAGATCAGGGTACTTAATTATATCTACCGGTAATCAATAAAGTAAATAAATCAAGTTATGTAATCTTAATTAAATAAATTAGTAATATCAATAGCTAATCAATACAATCGATATTAAGGGTCGATACTTATAAGGTAACAGGGTAATAAGGTAATAACAAAAGGGTATAATACAATCGTAAAGCACCTTCACAGTTAAGATAAGGGAAATAAAATATAAAAGAAATACAACAATACAATGATAACTTATATAATATCAATTCGAGAAATCAATTCTTAATACTCCTATATTAAAGACAATGAAATCTAAAACTTTATTTGAAGAAAGAAAAAACAGCTCTTTTATAAGTTCAAAATACATACGAATAAGGCTTTTACATCATTTGGGTTTATTTCTGTTTGTTGGGCCTGACCAGTATTTTCTACTAGGCTTATCTTTACTAATTTAACTTTTCTTAGACTTTTTACTAAGCTTTGGTACTGGTCGATACCTTTGAAAGGCTTTTCTTCCTACATTAATTTTAGCTTACTCCTATGTCTTACTATGATAACTAAGCTACAAACAAATAAAATCTATAAAAATAAACAAAGATGACAAATAAAATAAATAATTACACAGATCTAAAATTTTTAAATCTTCACCACTACACAGCCCTAATATACACATTCTCATTACTACTAGTCATGATTTTCAAAGAAAAAGCATGACATACCCCTTGTTAGGCACAACCCCCTTTTAGATACCTAAGTAGAACCGGATGGTGGTTCCATTTTTTCGTCACGTCCCCTTTTCGCTTCCTCTAACAATAATTCAAAATTTTCTTTGGTCATTTCTAATATTGCGTAAGCAAAAATATAATCAGATATTAATAAACTATGAATACCACGAATTTGATAAAGAGCATAAACCTGATGAGCTGTGTAGTTAGTTTGTATACTGTATAACTAGTTGTATTGTTAGTAAATCTATTGGTTTGTTTATTTATTTATTTTGTTTATATTACTAATAGTCTTATTGGTTTTAGCAGAAGTTGTTGTACTTCTATATATTATTGAGAAGTTGGTATCAATATAACCTTATACAGTCAAATCTCTCTATAATCATACCCTTGGTTTTAAAATTTTGGTGCTTATATAGAGTTTGCAATTATATAAAGTTTAAATTCTATAAGTATTATATAAGTTGGTTTTAAAAATTTATGTAATTATAAGCAAATATAACTATAGAGAAAGTGCCTATAGGGAGATCAGACTGTACTTACTAGATATAAAATTAGTTGCTTTGTTTGCATTATTATTTGAGTTGGTCTCATTATCTGT